ATTCAAATTAGCAACAATTATTTTGTTCGCTTTGTGAAGAGCTTATTGCCTCCGGGAAAGAGCTAAAGTTTCAGTTTCTTTCAAGTGGCTTGTAAATTCTACTGAACTCATTTGCAGGGAAATGAGAGTTTTCCTGTACTTATGACGTTTTTCTACCGCCGCTATATAGCGATATACATTTCCAAAATCTTTTTTTAGAAAAATTATACCATTTTTTTGTTTTCGAGAGCAAATGTCAGTCTGTGAAGACAGGCAATACTAAGATGCCAGACATTCCTCTGAACAAAAAAAGTTGATCGATGGAAGCCTCGTGGCATTTGAATTACAAATACCTTAAATACTATGTCATTCTGATTACTTTTTGAATAAACTACTTTGAAAATTACTCTCACTATTGCATGGTAAACACCGGCCTCGAATCGGCACTGTAATGGGCCAGTCGCAACACCATTTTAAAATGCCTTTTTGCAAGATTCTGATGGTTCTTGCGTAACTATCTATTTTTAACGTCTTTAAAATATATTTACAAAATACGCTTTTATGTTATCTAGTGTTGATCATAAGCCATAGACCTGGGATGTTTTTTCTTTTACTTTGCTCACGGAGTTTGCTTTCTCCTCTGGGCTGTTGTTTTTGCCCGTGCCTGCTCCTCACGTTGTTTCCTCTCGCAGCAATCTTGAAAGCATCGCTTTTGCTCCGTGCCCTGAGACTCGCATAACTTCAGCCTCCAGCGAAATCCGTACGACATACGAAGCGAATTGGCAGCATCCATTCTGTCCGTCTGCCCATCGCTGGACTTAATCGATAGCCGATGGCTTGCGGATGTGTGGTATTTTAATCCTTGCGACAGGGCTTCGATCTTGCACGTGTATACTGAAGCCGTGTAGGACAAACGGACGGCTTTTCTACCCAGTCTGCAGCATAAAGCGGTATGTTGACAGGCTACAGACGACTGTTTATCTACCAGGAAAGAAGAGGAAGCAATATAAGGCAAATCTGTTGTAAACGCTAGTCGAAATATTCGTAATTGTTTCAAGTCCAAACGCTGATTTTTACAGTGCTAAAACCTTTCTCAATCGATTAGTTAGCCGTAAAAACCGTAAAATTACACTGTAAGAAAGCCAGCCAAAACATCAGGCATATGCATATCGAACAATACTGAAGGAACTCGACGAATTTGATCAAATTGAGAACGGTACTTTAGAGTCATAAATCAAGGAAAACCACAAGCAAGAGATATTAATCTTAGTGCTACATGTTAAATTGTACATGTACGCCGCCTTCTCGGAATAAACTGATTTTCCGCCTTTCTTTGACTTCCTTTTAAATGGCGTTCGAACCACTTGCTACCAAACACACAATAAAACGAAACTTATAGTATATTTAGAGTATTGTGGGCATCTTGTGACTTGTCTGCCATACTTTGCANGTGCGTCGTCTCAGTTGGACCTTACTTTATTCAGAGAGGTAATTTTCTTGCGAATTCATTTTACAATTTCCTCGAAGGGGGAAAACGTGCTTCAACTGGCGTACATTAATTTTACCACAATCCGACGGTGGTGTGCGCTCCTGACCAAACCAGTCGCAGTTTGAAACGTTGGCCAACTTGTGAGTTATATACTTGATGAGCAACACGTTTTTTAACAATTAGATGATCAATCACCCCCTTTTCAACCCACCGCGCATTTATCGTAGGTATATTAGGCGGCATTAGTGATTCTCACAATCCGATTATTGAATAATAAACGAATACATTGACAGGTCGGAATAAGAGTGAGGTGTTTTGGAGTGTTACTGATAAATTTTTTTTTTTTTTTCACTTTAAAATGCCTCCAGACGTAGACTGAACTCTGGTTTCGGAGTAGCCTAAGATATATTTGAGTTGTTTAAATTATCATTTTTAAAAAATTATTGGCTTTTCCAAAACAAAATAACTGGATCCTTATATCATTTGACGCTAACTCCGTTTCGACAAGGCAAACGTCACAGAAAGTAGCCTATACGCCTGGCCTAGACTACCTTTTAGAATGTTTTCTCCCGAATTCTATCGCCCGAATCATCAGCGCTTTGCCCGAAAAATTTCAAAAAATTCTGAAACTGGGGGGCTGCAGCTCAATCCCCCGTCCCCCCCTCCTCCGCGCCTATCCAAGCCACTGTGGAGCGATGACTATCAATACGAATTAAAAGTCGTAGAATTTTCATTTGCGAGTGTAAACTACCGCCGATGGTAAGGGTTAATTGGCAGAACTTTGTGGTATTCATGACCGTGCATTAGTTTAATACTGAGTGGCACAAGCACAGGGCGGAAGGCTGCGACAAACGAGGCGGTAGTATTTATCGGTTTAATGCCAGTTCCTAATCTGTTTAATTTTGAATTTACACCCGGGAATGATATTGGTGTTACGTTAATGCTTTTTCGTCGGGGTTCTTTTAGTCTGTAAGGTTTTCCGCTTTAGATAAGCTGGCATTCCAATAGCTTCAAGGCTGTAGCCAGAAACCCAGAAAGGATTGATTTTCTCATACCGACTTTGAACGTGTGATGCGGAAGTTTGAAGAAGGAAGTGTTAACTCATTAAGGAAGTCAAATCTATAGTAAAAGGACATGTAGATTGTTTCAGCATTCCAGTTTGACGCTCGACGAAGCTTAGCTTCTAATTTCTGAAGTTTGCCTTTTCATTTTCTATGTTGGTAGGCATACCCTTTTCCTGATCTAACAGATTTGACCTAGATTCAGGGTATACTGAACAGGGGGTCATGAAATCCGTTGTAAAAATTGGAGACTTTCCCTACCCAAACATTTGAAACAATAGCCATAGGGGAATTTTGTCAAAGGCTGCAGTCAGAAAAATTAACACTGATTCATTTGGATTTATTTTATTCACAAGTGGATCTCAACCGGAGCCAACTTCCTCAGCCAGGTTACATGAGAGAGAAGACCGTACTTTGCTCATCCAGAACTGTCACGTGGTCTTGAGGGCAGTAGCTGCTAGAGATAATAATTGGTGCGTCACGAAATCTTAGAACAAAGCTTGCGTGACGAGTCAATGGAACACATCACTTCAGTGGTCGCGGGTTTCACAATACAGCAAGACCCTCTTTCAAAAGTCAGCAGTTGCTAAGTGTACTTTAGAAAGCCTATAGCTGTTGTTCTCTGATGTTCGATTATGTTCATATGGATTGCCGTTAATATGTACGAGTGATTATTGACTCTGACAAACTGGTAATAGGATTTATTTAAATTACCTTTAATCCAATTTACACTTGAAATATTTTTGTCTTTCAGTGTGACTTTATAGTAGTATGATCCCTGCTCGGGATACTTTTCACAGCTAAGACTTCTATAAAACAATATCGTTATTGACCTCGAGGGGTACAACCTGATTGGCTAGGCGTACACCATATATCTCTAAAGCGCGCGTAACCAATTGCAAAAAAATACCTGGGTAATTGCTTTTTCTCTATCTTTAAAACGTGCCTCTTACAAAAAAGATGCCTTAGCTTGTTAGAAAGAACTGTGGCTTATGCTTTATCCTGTTAAATGAATAAGACTTTCTGAAAGTGTTTCCTGACGAATTCAACAACAGCCTTGGAGCCTCGTTCAGTTGCTGTTATGCATCAGTCGATACTTGTGTAAGTGTGCTTATTTCAGAAACCGCGTGTCAATATTTGGTACCCAGAAAAGCGAATCACATGTGTAGCCTGAGTACCCGTGCCAACCACTTGACTCTGCGTGCAGACGTTAACTTCCTTCCTGCACGAAAAAATCTTACGCAAGAACCACTTGAACAAAGAGGGGACAAATTGTAGGGCAGAAATATCGGAGCGAATCTTAATTAACTTTCGATTTTCAACACAGGAAGGATATTCGACTTTAAAATTCGGGCTACCTTCGAGTTAATAGCATTTATTTTTTTACGAGGTATGTCACTACAGTCTTTTTCTTGGTCCTTAATTAACCTATCTTTCTCCAGTAAAAAAAAAGTGTGACACAAGGTAGCGTTGTGATTCGATTTTGTACAGGAGGTGCTTATTATATTGTGGGTGCCCTAGAAACAGAAAGAGAGAGCATTTTATATTCGGGGACTGGGGCTCGTGCATTTATTTATTTATTTATTTATTTATTTTCAACTTTTCTGCAGTTATCCCGTTTCAACTGCCTTCGTCTGGCTGCAACATTTCCTTGAAAACAAATCGTTCTCAAAACTAAGCTTATCTCGGTATATTCTAAGTATTTATCAGTATTGGACGTGGGCAGATATATTGTGTATGCCATGGAGCGCTCGATTCTTTTGAAAAAGGGGGCGTGGGCGCTAAAACAAATCTGTTCGCTTGAACGACTGCAACCGGAGACCATAAAACAAAGTCGATTCTCTTTGTATAAGTCATCTAATCGCTCAATTCACAAGTTTCATCGGTCGTTAACTTGCACTCTCAATTTTTTTATTGCATGCGGATGTTTTGCCTTGTTGATTGGCACAGTAATTGCTTTTAAGACACTCAGAACGGATTGCATGCAGTTTTATGCGTCTAAATGCACTTAAGATCTACTTGAAACTAGAAGAACAATACTCCAACACACAAATTTCCTTTTTCCAAGCTCCTTTTACTCCCATGATAAGTTATTCTTTGCACTTATTACCATGTTACCTCTTGAATCTGGTTATAAGAATTTGGCAGTGCAACGTTCTTAAGTTAACGACTGTCTTTGCATTCGTTACTTGTCTTCGCTGATATGGGATATGGGCAAGCCTAAATGCAATCTGGAGCTTAACAAGTCAATATTGGCGCGTTCAATAACAATAACAGTTTCTTTGATCGCGTGATAAGTAATTCATCGGCTCAGTATAATCATGCTAAATGGACAGTATATGAACATCTGAGCTCCGCCCACCACTTAAAATCCACTTTGCTCCTCGCCCTCATGCAAATGACTTTTAACACATCATTATCGCATTTCGAGCTGGACGGAGTACCGTGGTATAAACTACAGTAGACTGCTGTTCACGTGTTTCATTGCTGCTGATACATTTATTTCACTCATCATTCACAAAGTTGTGCGATACTGACAGCTCGCAGTACAAACCTAGCTACATGTTATTAAGTGTTTTTGCTATCATTATCCTGCAAAAATTGACAGGAGGACTATTCAAATTAGCAACAATTATTTTGTTCGCTTTGTGAAGAGCTTATTGCCTCCGGGAAAGAGCTAAAGTTTCAGTTTCTTTCAAGTGGCTTGTAAATTCTACTGAACTCATTTGCAGGGAAATGAGAGTTTTCCTGTACTTATGACGTTTTTCTACCGCCGCTATATAGCGATATACATTTCCAAAATCTTTTTTTAGAAAAATTATACCATTTTTTTGTTTTCGAGAGCAAATGTCAGTCTGTGAAGACAGGCAATACTAAGATGCCAGACATTCCTCTGAACAAAAAAAGTTGATCGATGGAAGCCTCGTGGCATTTGAATTACAAATACCTTAAATACTATGTCATTCTGATTACTTTTTGAATAAACTACTTTGAAAATTACTCTCACTATTGCATGGTAAACACCGGCCTCGAATCGGCACTGTAATGGGCCAGTCGCAACACCATTTTAAAATGCCTTTTTGCAAGATTCTGATGGTTCTTGCGTAACTATCTATTTTTAACGTCTTTAAAATATATTTACAAAATACGCTTTTATGTTATCTAGTGTTGATCATAAGCCATAGACCTGGGATGTTTTTTCTTTTACTTTGCTCACGGAGTTTGCTTTCTCCTCTGGGCTGTTGTTTTTGCCCGTGCCTGCTCCTCACGTTGTTTCCTCTCGCAGCAATCTTGAAAGCATCGCTTTTGCTCCGTGCCCTGAGACTCGCATAACTTCAGCCTCCAGCGAAATCCGTACGACATACGAAGCGAATTGGCAGCATCCATTCTGTCCGTCTGCCCATCGCTGGACTTAATCGATAGCCGATGGCTTGCGGATGTGTGGTATTTTAATCCTTGCGACAGGGCTTCGATCTTGCACGTGTATACTGAAGCCGTGTAGGACAAACGGACGGCTTTTCTACCCAGTCTGCAGCATAAAGCGGTATGTTGACAGGCTACAGACGACTGTTTATCTACCAGGAAAGAAGAGGAAGCAATATAAGGCAAATCTGTTGTAAACGCTAGTCGAAATATTCGTAATTGTTTCAAGTCCAAACGCTGATTTTTACAGTGCTAAAACCTTTCTCAATCGATTAGTTAGCCGTAAAAACCGTAAAATTACACTGTAAGAAAGCCAGCCAAAACATCAGGCATATGCATATCGAACAATACTGAAGGAACTCGACGAATTTGATCAAATTGAGAACGGTACTTTAGAGTCATAAATCAAGGAAAACCACAAGCAAGAGATATTAATCTTAGTGCTACATGTTAAATTGTACATGTACGCCGCCTTCTCGGAATAAACTGATTTTCCGCCTTTCTTTGACTTCCTTTTAAATGGCGTTCGAACCACTTGCTACCAAACACACAATAAAACGAAACTTATAGTATATTTAGAGTATTGTGGGCATCTTGTGACTTGTCTGCCATACTTTGCAGTATTATATCGGAAGCGATAAGAAAACATTAATCAGTTGAACAATTCTCGTCTTAGCTAGTAGACGTGACTTGTTTTCCTATAGCAATTTTCATCAGAATGGCTCTCAGTTTTTCTAACTACCTGGCACAACGCAGCAATATTAGCTATATATTACGCCATTACTTTGTTAGCTGGTGGAAAGGGTTGTGAATAATTCCTTTAATGACAAGACACGTTTGGACACATGCACAAAGTGATCATGCACAGAACAGATGAAGGTCCTCGTACCTTGGTTCTGCCCTGTCGCCTCAGCAATTGCATTGCTGCTGCCGTTTTGTGTTGAAAAGTTCCCGTTGCCAGCCGAAGCGACCACAAGTAAACTTAGAAGTTCAATTACAAAAAGAGTGACTCGATCCATGGCTGGTTCAGTTCACATCACTTAGTTGACTTAAAATTATGCATCAAGTGCGGAATGGCACGCTCGCGCGCTCGTTCGGAATGGATCAACTGCAAATGACTTTCCACTCAGTCTCCGCTGCTACAATTGTAGTCTGTACATTAAACAGGGCCGTATGATATGATAACAGTTCTTTGGGTCACGTAGATTGATGACTGGGACAAAATATCTCCTTAGCCAGCACTGAGGGCGATTTGGATTAAGGATAGCTGCGACCTTTAAGATGTGTTTAGACGCTTCTGCGGTGAAAGTTTGATGTTATATTGCCGGACGGTACTGTGATGTTGACGAGTGGTTCTCGAGGACGATTTGTACGAAAGCCAAGTACGATGCAGTTGCCAGTTGATCGTGCCAACTACGAGTCAAAAGTCCACCTTGATAATTTTACGCTTTTCCGATGAGTTGAAACGTCTGCGCATTCGTTCTGTCTAGTCTGCTGCCAAAGAAGCGCTGTTGCATGACCCGACGTGACTGAATGACGGAAATCCTTTGCTGGTCTCCAAGCGTTTGACCTCATCCGTACCCACTTTAACTGATGCGCAACTGCCACCTTAAACTAGAGATGGCAGAAACAAATCGTGGATGCGACGCAAGGCGAAAAATGCCTTTTATCTGAAAAATCAACATGGCCGAAGCGTTTCCAAACAAACCAAAATCTATGGTAACAGACCATTACTTAAACGCGAATTACTTGATTCAGTCTTTTGTTTTGTCTTTCAGGTAATTTATATACCAAATTATCACAGCCAGTGAGCTGTGACTGTTGATCTGTCTAACCTGTCCAGCCATGCAAGTTGAGGGGGAGGGGGTATGGATATCTGTATGGTTTTTCAGTTTTTGAGCTGTTTTGGTCTGCAAAAGACCATAGATTTTGACCATTTTGGTCAGAAATAGGGTATGGTTTTTCACTCTAGCTTAGTATTTGGTAGTTTATCAACAAAAACAAATTTGTAGCCCTTTTCAAATGTTCACGCTTATGGAAACCATTTCTGGTTAGCTGTGGGTCATAAATTGGAGTCGTGTAACAATTTTAGATGTCTGAAATGGGGTATCGATTTTTGGCTCAGGTCTGAAATAACTATGAACAATCACAGATTTGGGTCTGAAATAGGGTAAGGGTTTTCAAGGTTCGGGTTTCACACCACCACTAAAAACGTTGAGGAATACCCCCCCTTCCCCTCCCCCCCCCCCCCCCCCCCCACACACACACACGCACAGCCATGCACATGCACACTTAGAATTGCTTGCAAATACCCAAAAGACATGCTGATGTTGTTGAATGCAATGATCTATAATTTGATCTACAAATGCTTNGCCCCCTATTCTCCCGGGCTCCCGCCCCCCTGTCCCCCCCCCCCCCCCCCCCCCCCAACACACACACACACGAGCGACCTGTCTAGTCTTGTCAATGCCATCCCATTGCTAAAGTTACTCTGCACGGGCTGAGAAGACGTAAGTCGAAATGTAAAATCAATAGGTTGTATCTGTTTTGTTTGTAAGCCGATCCTGGAATAAATGTATGAAATTTTGTTTAATTTTTGACAATACAAGTGCTAACCAAACAGTGACACAAAGGTCACCGTTAGTCGGCAGTTTATTGTCTTGCACTGTTAATAGAAGCTAATAGAGACAAAAGAGTGTATTGTACAGAAAAGCAATTAAGCCGCTCTAAAACAAAAGACTTATCCCTTTTCTCCCGTGCGGTTATCTGAGTTATCAAATGCGTCGCCGATACATTCAAATGATGATACTAATAAGACCATCCGTTGTCTTACAGCCTGATTGCCGCAGTACTAATCTGTATGGAATTATAATTTACAACCTCCTCGAGCATTTTCATTCATTATGCTAAAATGTTAAAATCTCTTTACTAACAGGTCAGTAGAAATCCAATGATGTGATTGTTTGAAGAGAGTTAAACAGCGCAGCGAGAGTCATCTAATGTAATTCGTTTTTGCTGTACTCTGAAGATGTCGCCATTACCAAACAATCATACAAGGGCTTTCTACTATTCAGGTCCTCTGTTTGACTTTTAAAAATGAGTCTTACACAAGCTATTGTCCACCAAAAAAGAAAATCATGCACAACCCGAAGGTGGGAAAAAAAATTTCGACCCCACCCCTCTTCAAAAAATAATTGTCCGTACCTAACTTTGACCCAGACCATTATCACCAATAAGATTTCTGAAACACGACATTTTATATCATTAAAATACCTTGTACCTATGCAGTGTTGTCATTATAAGTATTTGGCTTGCGAGGGGATAGTATCTTTAAGTACCCTCTCGTTTTCGACTATTCGGTTCAAACACGGAAATACTTTTTCTTGTTACCAATGACATAAGATGGCCAATCAGAGACTGAATACTATGAATTTCTTGAGAATTGTTGCAGTAGTACTGTAGTGAGAATCTAGATACACATCAAGGGAGTATCATTTAGTTGATAATTCAATTTATTCTCGTTAAGCCTGCCTTTGGCTCTTGACAATGCAATATTATAACGGCGAAATTCAAAAATAGTCACTGTTGAGTTTTAGCGCTAAAATGATGTAAATATGAATGCTATTATTACAGACGATTGGGAGAACGATCAATATGGCAGAAATAACCCATAAACACGCGGAATAAAGAGAGGAAAAATGCAATTAACGTCATATATAATTAATAGGTTATTCTGCTTTGTACGGTTGCATGTTCGTGTAAACATGTTAGGAGAATATATTGGAACTTCATATTAGATACAGTATTTAAATGTTGCAAATTTCTGTTATAACGGTAGAGGAATTAGAGAAGCAGTATCTACAAGGCTTCAGTGTTTGCCGCAGGGATCTCAATCCTGGTCCTCACTAGCGACGCGACCATAAGCATAAAAATAAGCATAAAAGAAGCTTATGCGCTAGTGAGAAAGGCCGGACATAAGCATAAGCATAAGCATGAGCATAAGAATATTGTGTCCAGTAAGGACATGTTGACGCAAGCATAAGCACAAGCATAAGCGTAAGACTATCAGCCAATCAGCGAGCACTTTATGCTTGTGTCAACATGTCCTCACTGAACATAAGCATAAGCATAAGCATAAGCATAAGAAGAAAGCTTATGCTCATGCTTATGTCACGGCTGCCCACACTAACGCGTAAGCTTAGTTTAGCACGATTGTGCATGACGTTTTGGGTGGAGACAGTCAAAGACCTGTGTGTTCGGGCATTTGTTTTAAATATTACTTTTGATGGTGATATGGAGACACTCTCCGGTAGTTTTTAGACTCATTTCCAATTGTATGAGTTTGCTTGGTGATTTATTGTTGTAATTTTAGTTTATTCTACATTCAGATTAGAGATAAGATTTAATTTATCGGTTGAAAGTTGAGTTGTTTGTCTGTTTGGATGATAAAGTATTCATTGGTCAATTGTTGCTTTGGGTCATAAGTTGGTCAAGACACCAGGTGGAATTTAACTCCCTTTTTAGTTCGGATGATGAATTACTGATAGAGATGCAATCTGTCATTAAAATATTGACTAAGTTGTGTCTCAACTTAGAAGATGAGGTACGACTGTTAGTATGGATAATGTATTGAAAACAATACTTCAGTGACAGTATTGTTCGAGACTTCGTCGTTTGTTTGACGGTTTGGAATGATGAGATAGAGGTCATTTGTCGTTCGCTTTCACGCGGTTTTTTGACACTTGTCACAGTATAGATGTCGACGCCATAATTTGCATCTTATTACTTAGCTCGAGTGTTTTCCTTACCAACTTAGTGCCCTCAATACTGTTTTAGGTCTTTCGATCTGACTGATAATTTTGAACCGTACAATATCACTTACGCGTGTAACACCATGATACTCTAAAAATAATTTTTGACTCGCTTCTCGCTGTTATTCTCCCCGAAAAATTACCTTCACTCTTCTAGTCTATTGTTTAGTCAATAAATTATCAGAATTAAATCCTCTTTGGATCCATTTATTGACATACGGTAAGAATTAGTCTCTGATATGATTAATAGCCCTGACACCACGACTAATCGCTTCAAATACGCGAAAGCACGAACGTTGACAGGATTTGTCAGGCTGAAGAACTATTTGTTCCAAAGCTGACCTGTCTTCATATATATCAGCTAAACATGGCACAGTATGTTCCAGTATAGCGCATTTTAATAAAACATCATGAGCCAAACGTCATGAGCTTGTGGTCAAACTTAAACAGGGATTAATTCTCTAATTTAATTAACACTATAAAACAGCAAAGTGTGAAATTATATCAAATTATTATTTTTTTTTTTCATGTCACGCGATGGCAGAACGGATCATAGAAAAAGGATTAATTATTTTAGTGCCGCGATTTTTTACCTCTTCCCTTTGGACAATACATGTGTAGTTTCGCTGACTAAAATAGTTCATAAAAAGACGTCTACATTCGTTACTGTAATACGGCCGTCTCGTTATTATGGCCACTTTATTCTTGCCCGAACAAAGGCTCAGTCATGTTCTTATTAAAGAACCCCTTTAATACGAGCATTCCGTTAATACGGCCAGATATTTTGGCTCGTTGGTGACCAGATTAACGGGGTTCCACTGTATTAGCAGCGGATCCAAGTTAAACACGACGGAAATACAATATTTGCCAATAAAATCTTCTGAGGATGATCTGCTGATCTTAGCTATCGCTTTCAGTGTTTTGATTTATCATGGTCACTCTACTAAAGCCCTAAACGGATTTCGGAATTTCCGACTTATAACCTTTTATTTCTTTGGTAAACATGAAAGCAAAATATACGTACCGAGAAGAGAAGTAAATACTCGATAGCACGCAATGTAGGTGTGTTGATTTTGTTGGATTTCATTCTAAATATATTTAAACCGGCCGCATGTAAGAGGTACATACATCCTTTCCAGTTTGATATTTTCAAATCCAAATTGGGTAACGAAAATTACCTTTTCCTTCTTCATCTTTTGTTATTCCAAATTAACGGAACATGTGCCTGATTAAAAGAAATGTAGTAAGAATAACGGAACATTGCTTTGTATCTACCCCCTCTTCCCCCCACCCACCCCCCACCCCCAAAATCGGGAGCCTATTTGTTACCATTTGTTCTCCATCCAGGGATACTTGACCCCGTGGGGGGTCAAGTATCCCTGGGGCGGGGAGAAATGACATTTGGTAAAAGCACCTGGCGCTTAAGATAGGGTCGACTTTTCCTGTTGAAGATTCCAACCCATTTTCCTTTGATATTCCACAAATTATACTTCCATATTTCTATCATCCCTGACCATCTCTATTAATATCCTCTGTAATGCTCCGTTTTCCACAAACTCTGTCCTTTCACCTTGTTCCCTGTACTCCCATTCCAAGAGTACAGAGCGTATTTTTTTTATGAGCCCGTTTTGTAAAGGTAAAGTCCCTTGTTACCATGTTCCATGTCGTTTGCCTTCAAGCCAGAGAAGGGAAAGAGTCCCCAGTTGTCAGCCTGACAAATGGGAAATGGGGGACTGTGTTTTCCCCT